TTTGGAGAACGCAATTTTATGGATTAAGGACTCGTATTTTAGCTGGAAGCAATGGTTTGAAATTAAAAACACCTAATGATTGATTTGTTTCCTACAAACACACAGCTTTTCACTTCACAAGATGTTAATTGATGAACTGGAGTTGTGTGGATTACTTGTAGATTATTGTGATGTTTTTATCAACTGTTTGAACGCTCATTCTGACGGCACCCATTCACTGCAGAGGATCCATTGGTGAGCAAGTGATGTAAATTGCTTCTAAATAAAACTCATCTACATTTTGGATGGCCTGAGGGTGAGTAAGCTTTCAGCAAATCTTAATTTTTGAGTGAACTATTTCTTTGAAAATTGTTAACTACATTCTTCTGTTTTAACAAGTAATTCTTATAGTTTATTCTGAAAGTTTTTTTTCAGAATTTTATTCAAAGGGGTAATTTTTTTAAATAATTTGTCTTGTTTTTATTAAAAAATAAGTGCATGAGATGTTAAACACTTAGTTATGGGTTCTGGGTTTTGCTGACGGGTCCAATATAGTTGCCTCTTTTCTTTTTTCATTACATTTTGACAGGTTCACAAAACAGTCTGCAATAATTCTATCTTTCATGTCAAAAGATCAAGGAAAATCAATTTCTCTTAAAATGACCCCTTTGACGGGGACTCTGGCTGGCCTGGCTGGTGAATTTTAACTGCAGTTAGATTTAGCTCTGATGATGGTACTTGTATTTGATGATTTAATTGAAAAAGGAACACATTTCCACTTTCTGATGGCTGTGGTCTATGTTCAGTGGAGTAGACGTGGCCTGTTAGATTAATGAATATGATATATCATCAGGGACAGAAACAAGTTGTGTGATTAAAAAAGTTTTGAGTGATCAAAGCTCTGCAGGTTTAAAGTCTTTCTTTGTTCATCTGTTCTTACCTCTTTTATCCTTGAGTATCTGTACCTGACAGCTTCCTATATGAATGTCTTTCTCGCTTCTGTCTCTTTACCAGATCCTTGTTTCTGTAATGTCTTTCAGAAGAGACATGTCTCCCTAAAGACCTTGAGTGTCTGTGATAATTTTATCATTTGATGTGATTAACCCATTCCTTATCTTACTATGCCCCAGGTATCACATTCACATATATGAAGACTGACTCTAACCCTCCATATACCCACATAAGCATATTAATGAATATAGTTATATTAATAGTTATCAATTAAATCATTATTGTATATCACTATTCGCAGAGTAATTATAGTACAAAATATAATAGTCAATATATACTATATGCTGTGTTTATATAAATATATACATATATACATACATAAATACAGCGGGTAAAATAAGTATTGAACACATCACCATTTTTCTCAGTAAATATATTTCTAAAGGTGCTGTTGACATGAAATTTTCACCAGATGTCGGTAACAACCCAAGTAATCCATGCATACAAAGAAAACAATACACATAAGTTCAGAAATTAAGTTATGGAATGACACATGGAAAAAGTATTGAACACATGAAGAAAGGGAGGTGCAAAAAGGCATGGAAAGCCAAGACACCAGCTGAAATCTATCAGTAATTAGAAAGCAATCCTGCCCCTTGTCAATGGAAATTAATATTAGCTGGTTCCGTTTTAACTGATGGCCTATAAAAAGGTGTCTCATGACCAACGTGTCACACAAGAAACATTTCATGATGGGTAAAAGCAAAGAGCT